GGTGTCTATTACAGGCCACCAGATCAGGGTGAGGAAGTTGACTAGGCCTTCTACAGGCAGCTGAGAGCAGCCTCTCAATCACAGGCCCTGGTTGTTGTGGGGGATTTTAACTACCCTGATGTTTGCTGGAGGGACTATTCCGCCAGCCACCCACAATCCAGGAGGTTCCTCCAGTGCATCGATGATAACTTCCTGATGCAAATGGTGGATGAGCCAACCAGGAGAGGAGCGCTGCTGGATCTCATCCTCACTAACAAGGAGGGTCTGGTTGAAGCAGTAAAGGTTGAGGACTGCCTGGGCTGCAGCGACTGTGAGATGGTGTTTGCAGGGGCTCGGGGTGCGCCTGTGCAATGAGCAGCGAGTGCAGGGACCAGTCTCCCTGCTTGGGCCAAAGTTTGAAGGTCTCATTTTCCAGCTGTTGAAGACTGCTGGTGGAATCAGGGTGTTGATGGTTTGCGGGCAAGCAGAGCTCCTCTGGCCTCCTCCTGCAGGGCTTGTCCTGCAGGATTTGGCCCAAAGCCCCTGGGTGTCACTGGGTCTGCTGTGGCTGCTTGCATGTCCCCACAGAGCATTCAAGCTGGTGGTACCAGTCCTTCCAAGCATCCTCCTAGAGCTCATCCCTGGGAATGGCAAAGCTTCGTAAAATCAGCTTCCAGCTGCTCATCAGCTCCTGAAACCTGTCCTCACGCATGTGTGTGGGATGTTTCGGTAAGAAAACCCATCCCAGCTGTTAGGAGAGGTGGTCTCGCTCTGCTCTGATCAGAACATTAGAGCTGGACCAGGTGAGACCACAGGACATTGCTTTGGTCAGAGCTGATTGAGTATGAGTGGGATTACGAATGCTGGTCTGGGTGAATGGTGGATGAGTCCATGGCTTAGCTGGATCCTCTGTTGACTCGAGTGTGTCAGAACTCCCTGCTGGCCAAGCACATTTTCTTACAGCCAGGCTGGGGAGGTGTTCAGTGGCCATTACCTCTTGAGAAGCCTTTGCAATACTTCCTTGTGTGCCCATGCCCCAAGGATGCACCATGGCAAGGTTGGGAGTGCAGCCATGGCAAGGCTGGATCTGCAACTGTGTGAGGCTGGGAGTACAATTTTGTGAGGTTGGAAGCACGACCAGGCAAGGTTGGCGAGGTTGGGAGGTGCAGCCACAGCGAGGTTGGGAGTGCAACCCTGGCAGGGTTGGGAGAGCAACCAGGCAAGGCTGGTAAGGTTAGGCGTGCAACAATGGCACGGTTGGGTGTGCAGTGATGGCATGGTTGGGTGTGCGACCGTGTGAGGTTGGGAGTACAATTGTGTGAGATTGAGAGTGCAACCAGGCACGGTTGGGTGTGTTGGCCATCTCCAAGGGCAGGCCTCTGAGAATGTGTATTTAGGTTTCCTTACAGAAAGCAGCCTCATGTTGCTGGGAAGTGGTGGACATCAGCAGCATGCACCTTTGGAGATCCACCTCAAGGGGTAGCAGGGCTGGTTGTGGTGGGTCTTGGGGTCCTGTCCCTCTCTCCCCAGCCTGGGGCAGTGCGGTCAGGGACACGCGCGCGTGTATCCTGGCCGTGCCTGTGCGGCTGTGGCTCTGCAGAGGCTCATTTCAGGAGGTTTCCTTGGAAACCTATCAGCCACCACGGGGAGGGAGCATTCCTGAGCCAGCTTTGGCCCCGGCAGGAGGTGACCAGGGCAAGGCTGGGAGAGGTGGCTCTCCCCAGGGCTGAGCTGCTCTGACTGGGCACAGGGAAGCTTCCACAAGCTCTCACCAGCTGCCACCCAATTCCCAGAAAGCCGCTGTCCTCCTGCTGCAGCGTGCCTGCAGACCCTAACCTGGTGCCTTGTCTTTGCAGGAGCAGGAAGATCCAGATCCGAAACATCCCCCCACACCTGCAATGGGAGGTAAGAAGTGGACAATCTTAAAAACATCCTAAAATTCATCTCCTCCTCCCATCAGTCATGCCGAACAGCACAAGCTGTGCTGCTGGAGCATGTGGTCTGCACATGGGCCGCTCTACCTTCCCAGTAACCCCAGGAAGGAGGTTTTGTGTGAAGTGGGCTCCATCTCCTGCCCACTTGTGGGTCATGGGGCAGTAGGGCATCATGGAAATAATGGGATGTAGGTGGGTGAAGGCATTTAAGCAGTTGGGTGACACTGGCTCTTTGGAAGGTGTCTGTGGGTGAAGCAGGCTCTGCTCTCTGCCTGTCCCCTGCCTGTTCAGCAGCCTCTTTGCTCACCTCACCTGCCTCGTTTGCTGCTCTCTCCCCAGGTACTTGACGGCCTGTTAGCTCAGTATGGGACAGTGGAGAACGTAGAGCAAGGTAAGATGGTCCAGCATGTTGGTCCCCATCTGTGCCGAAGTCCCAGTGCTGCCTCCCAGCTCTGCTCATGCTGGAGAAAACCCAGTGGGGTGAAAACTGGTTTTCTCAGTCATTGGTACTGGGCTAAAATGGTTTTCCCTGTGGGCACAAGCCCAGCTGGCAGAGGTGGGGCCACCCATCTGGTGGTGGGATGGTGGTGGCCATCACTCGTCCATCCCCAGAGCTTCTCTTGGTTCTTGGCAAATGAAAATCCACTTGTCCCCGTAAGCAGAAATGAGCCGAGTGTTGTTTGGGGTCCGCTGGTGGACTGGTGATCTCTGGCTGTGCATCCTCCGTGGCGAGGGTGGCAGGATCCAGCCTTGGCACCTCCTGGTCCTTTGCCAGCCCAGCCCCATCCTTGTGCCGGGCAGGGATACAGCGGGTGATGTCTCTCTCCTCCTCTGCTCTAATGTTCCTTCTCTTGCTTTTCCCATAGTCAACACAGACACAGAAACAGCCGTTGTCAACGTAACTTATGCAAGTAAAGAAGAAGCAAAAGTGTAAGTGAGTTTTACCTCGTTTTCTTTGTATTTTCACACTACCTGAACTTTTCCCAAGGAATCCCAGGTGTTTTCCCCCGGCTGTTTTTCCAGGCTGCTTTTTGTCTTCTCTCTAAGCCTCCTTGGGTTGTTTCTAAGCTCTTACAGTGTAAGCTTCAAGTACCTTAAGACCTGTCTGTGTATCTTCTCAAGATACAGCAGGCAGATTTTGGTTTTATCTTGAGCTGTGTCATGTCTTCTGCCAGCAGCCAGCTCCACCTTCTCGTCTTCACCTCACCACTGGGTGGTCTCCTGCTTTCTCCCCTCACATAGGAGATGGGGTTTCTCATGATGACCCAGGTGTCACTGGACCAGCTATGGACCTTCTGTTCTTCCTGTTGTCCCTGAGGTGCTTCCAGCTATGCCAACTTGCAGTTCCTTCTGGACTCTGTCCTTCTTACAGGATCTTCTGCAGGGTTGTGGTGGCCTTGTCTTCAGGGATCAAAGTGCTCTAGAAAGCTGAGGGTCAGTTAAGATAATTGGTTCATCAAGGAGTTGTTTTCCCAGGTTGGAAGTCCAAACCTAAACAAAGAATGCACCAGATTAATCACTGGGTACGACCGCCCAGCCTGAGCTGCTGAAGAGGTGGAATATGGTGAAGGAGGTGGGAGAGATGGTGAAGAAGCGCTGTGATGATGGGAGATTTAAGTACCCGCTGCCACATGGGGAGGATTCAAGTTGGAGACAAAAATACTCAGAGACTGTCACCTCCTGCTTCCTAGAGTCAGGAGAAACCACCTGACAACTTCTAAAAGGCTTTTGAAAAGTTCTGCTGTGGACAATGGGTAGATCAGTAGCTGGTTAGAGGGCGTGAGAAGAAGGCGGGAGGTCCGTGGCTGGTTTCTGGAGGGGAGGGTGAGCAGCAGAGGGTAGATCACCTGCACATTGTGCAGAGGAGTTGTAAAGAAATGCCACGCATCAAGCAAAGCTTCACAAGGACAGAAGAACCCGTTGAGGCTGTGCATCAGTGCAGTAGGGCTGTGTGAAGATGCGCCCAAAGCCTGCAGAGGAAAAAAAAAATACACATTAGGGGTTAATTCAGTAACATGAGGACTATTTCAAGCAAAACGTTTCATTACAGGCTTGTAGAGACTCCAGCCCTTTGCCAGAGACCAGCCCCAAGCTGGCTATGAGGAAGCATCTCATGCTTAGCAGCCAGGGTGGTTTTGATATGACCAAGAGTCACTTCCAGGAAGACCCCATGCAGGAAGGAGCAGATCCCATGCAGGAAACAGCCACGGATAATCAGGCTGGTTCCCAGATGGCAAACGTTACCAAGCTGGGAGCAGCTCAGTGTCCTGTCACTTGACATCTGCCCGTAGGACACACGAGCGCGGGACCATGATCATGATGGAGAAACTGTCGTAGCGGAGGATTTTGTTGATGTGCATCAAAAGCAGGATTTTGCAGTGAAAAGTGGAATATGAACCTTGTTCTGGTTTTGGGAGGATGGTGTATGGTGGACAGCATGGGACAGAAAGCCATAGCTCTACAGGATGGTAGCAGAGAGAGATGTCCTAAGGCCATGGTAGGTCTGACCTCTGGTCCCTGCACTGATCAGTGTTCCAGCAACTTCTCATGACCCATCACAAGGTTGGACTCATGAGGACAGAGACAAGGAGAATGATCTGCAGGTGTTGGAGGCCAGATGCAAGTCCACCTTGCTCCAGTTGGGATGGCCGTGTTGGGCATGTGATCCAGCCTCCGCTGCCAGAGGAAGGTGGACCACAGATGGACAAGGCGTGAACTGCTATGTCTTGGGATGTCTGGCAAGAAAGGAAGATGAAGGATCTCACCAACACAGTGGTGCTTGATGCTTTGGGGTAAGAGTTTTCAGGGTTAGCGAAGTGATCAGTCTCATCCAGCCAGACTGGTGCTTCTTTTGGGTGGTGATAGGCAGCTTGATGCAGAAGTGCGTGGTGGGAGGAGTGGTCAGGGTGGTTCATGGGTAGGTGTATTTGGTTCAGAGGAAGACCTCGGCAGAGAAATCAGACATGAGGGTAATGGTGCTGATTTCAGAAAGGCACGATGAAGCTGCAGAAGTCCTTGTTGGGTGTGAAGTTCAGGCCTGGCAGGGAGCTGCTTGTGGTGCTGCATTCATCCCCCTGCCTATGAATAGCCAAGCGCGATGTGGTAGGAAGAGGAAAGTATGTCTGAAGCCATCACTGCTCACAGAAGTCATCGCAGACTCCGGCACAGCTCAGCATCGCACAGCTGAGGAGGGACTTGAGGGGATGAAGAGCCCAGGTGCTGCACCCCCAGCCTTGATGGAGTGGGAAAGGGAGTGGGGATTCCCAATAGAGGGGCACCATGTGCTCTGTCCTTCTCCTTGGAGTGGTGGCTCTTGCTCAGAGCCCCTCTGTCACCTTTTCCATGTCCAGAAACCCTACCAGAGCATTTCCATGACATGCAGTAGCTTCTGGGCAGCACTTTCCCTGGGTGAAGTGGCAGATTCCCAAGCTGGCATCCCACCTCTGCTACGGGGACAAGCCATGTCCCAGCCCTGGCGTCATCCACATGGGAGGGGACATCATCCCCCCATGCTATAGGGCTTGCTCCGCACGGGGAAAGTGTGGGGGCTCTGACTTCCCATGACCATTGTCTCCACACTGGGAGGGTGGAAGGTGCAGGGTTGGGGAGGGACCATGGTCTGCAAGTCCTGGAGATGTACCTAGCCCTGGAGACCCCCTCGTCACCCCCCCACCTCTCCCTACCTTGCAGAGCAATTGAGAAGCTGAGCGGCCACCAGTTTGAGAACTATTCCTTCAAGATTTCCTACATCCCGGATGAAGAGGTGAGCTCCCCTCCACCCCCGCAGCGATCCCGCCACGGGGGCCACTCTTCCAGGGAGCGGGGCTCCTCCCCAGGGGGCTCCTCACAGCCCAAACAGCTCGATTTCCCACTGCGGATGCTGGTGCCCACGCAGTTTGTTGGTGCGATCATAGGAAAGGAGGGCTTGACCATAAAGAACCTTACTAAGCAAACCCAGTCCAAGTAAGTACCTCAAATGGTTTTGTTTCCTTCTGTAGGGTGCTCGAGGTCCTCAATGTGGGTCCTCCATGCACTTGGGGCTTTTGAGTCTCAGCTGGTGCTGTTTTCTTGGGGTGCCTCCTTCAGGGGATGGTGGCAAAGCCCATTTCCTGAAGCGTTCCTGCTGGCCAGGGTGGTCTGGGTGCAGCAAGAGGGGGATGTGCGCCAAAACCGGCCAAGAATGGCTTTCTAGAGCCTGATTATGAAAATGGCTGGGGATGAGGCTTTAGGGAAAAATGACAAGTGTGGGGATGAAATGCCGCAGGGGGATCCTGGGTCCAGTGGCTGGTGCCTGCGTGGTCCTTGCCCTTGGGATTTGCTCATTCCGCAGTGCCCCGTACAGGCTGGAACCGTTGTAGTGGGAAAGGGGGCCCTGAGGTAGCGCTGCCTGGAGAAGGAAAGGGGGCACTGAGGTAGCGCTGCCTGGAGAAGGAAAGGGGGCCCTGAGGTAGCGCTGCCTGGAGAAGGATGGGCTTTTCCTGACTGTTGGACACCTTTTTTTTTATTATTTTTTTTTTTTTTAAATTTAC